TTTCCCACCAGTCGTAGTCGTTCAGCTGCTTCAGCAACTTTTGAAGAATGAGTTTAGCACCGTGACAGACCTCGTCTGGCACGCCCCTTCATCCACAGCGGACATAACTATGCCTTACTATTTCACGCGTAGTGCTGCGACACGGATGTTCTGACATACACCTAGCCAGACTATCTTTGCTTGTCCTGCGCCGCTTCTTCACTTCGTGGTTTTAGAGCTCGGTGACAATCTCTTGAGATGGCACCGGACCCTTTGTTTGCGTTTTTGTGGTTTTGCGGAACAGCAGTGAAATTGATTAACCCATTTCACTGCTATTCCGCAAAATCTTCCTTAACTTCCATTCTGATTCTTCCAATACTCTCTGCTCATAGCACTTCTTTTCAATTCCTACGTGGCATTTTGTTCCTCATCTATTCCATTTTCCCATTTTTTCCCCAGATTGTACATTGTCCATCTGCATTTATATATTATTTTCAGGCACGAAGAAAGTATATTGAAAAAAGCTATGACGTACGATATCGATGATATGATGTCACTTGCAGCAGTGCTAAGTTGCTGCTTGCACTGCCACGCAGCAAACTGGCCGACAGCTGTCGATGACTTTGTAAGAACGCTTCTACTTCTACCAGGGGTTAGTTTTTGCGGTGAATAACTCTTCCAGAATTAGCATTGCTTAATTTCGCGGTGTTAGAAATGCAGAAATTCTGAACACACACTGTAAGACCACCTAAGAGGGGAATTTTTTCCCGCGTGCGAGCTGAGCAGGTCGACAGCCAGGAAGTGTAGCTGCTTTAGGCATTTTGGCATTTGGAAGGGCTAGAAAATAAAGCAATAGGCCTGCGATGGCATCATATTTCTCATGTCTGTGGCGCCATTCAATGACGATACGTGCGCCTCAATCACGCCACACTACCAGCCATGTGGCTACTCTCAGGCACATGGCTGGCCGTCTGGCGTGATTGTGCAATGCATTTACGAGTGGCGAGCGGACGCAAGAGGGGCATGAACCTGTTGCAAAGCTTCAGCTTTCCCTTCATTTCCCCGCTCTTTCGGAAGGCAAAAGTGGGAATAATTGTGCAGTGGGTCTCTATAGGAGATGAGTGTAGTTTGTAAAGAATATTGCGTTAAACTTTTTGAGGTCGGGATAGACACACTCACAACAGATATGTCTATTCATTCTATCTGATTATTTGTTAATTTATTATTAGTTTATAAATTAACCAAAAAAAACAAGTAAATAGGTCGATGGGTTTTAAAAACACGTGGAGACTAAATAAGGAGTTTGTTATGATTTCGAGAAAGCATACTAAGTATTTTCGATGAAGAGCGCATCCTTATTTCATTCAAACTTTCAGATGCATTCTACAGTCCAGAGTGGAAGCGATGATGTAAACAACAACACTTCCCTCTGCGACAGTCCTCACAAAAGCCAGCATGCTGGTAGGTTTAGTGTTATAGTCGTAGTTTCGTAGCAGTATATGGTATTTCAGCTCCTCAACCGGTCAATGAACTATCTTCTGAGGAGAACCTGAATAGTACTGATGCCGCGCCCGTTCAGACAGATGTTGCTGATCAAGACACGTCAACGGCTAATGTCAACACAGAACCGTGCGAACCGTCTGCTGTGAGTTCGCGCCGAATTCCTTGGAACGATCAGATCGCTTATATGGTAGGACAGCGTTCAGACTTCGTGTCGACGCACGTCGACGCGCTGCAATTGCAACAATGCTCCAATGCGACAGACGCAAGCGCAGCCGCGCAATCGAACAGTGCGCTTGTGTCTTAAAAGAGAGAGTATGGGGGGACGGGTTACGCCTAATCACGACGTCTGCTATCTATCCACACTGGCCGCTGGGGCTTTAGGGAGGTAGAGAAGAATGGAGGGTACCAGAATGAAGGCAGCGCCTGCGCTCATGTATTCCTATACTCTTCGGCGCCAACCGTTTCCCGTTTGATGCTGCATTCGCGTCCTGGGACTAGAGCACTGCTGCAATCGCAGCGCGTCGAGGCGCGCTACAGCGCGTGGACGCGTGTCACCCCGAAG